ATTTATAAAAGTATTTTAATACCTATAAAATAAAAATTTAGTAATTTACAAGGTGGAATAAGAAAAGATAAAATGAAAAAGAGAAAACAGAACTTAATAAAATTTAATGACAGTAAACTAGGGTTGCGCCCCGAGCCTTCGGGGTTGAAAAAGTCGGGGGTCGGGGTTTTCGGGGTTGACAAAGTCGGGGTCGGGGTCGGGGTTGCTCAAATTGTTCGGGGTCGGGGTCGGGGCTGAAAATCATGTCGGGGTTCGGGGTCGGGGTCGGGGGTCGGGGTTGAAGTGAAAATTTACAAAATCCAGCATTTTTATCCAATATTACTGTGCAAAATCAACATTTTTATTAAAAAATCAACTTAATCTTCATTATCTTCACTTTCTAAATCTAATTCGTTATTAGTTGAAGGCGCAAGAAGTACTTTATCCAAGTTATCCTTCATAATCCCCAAAATCCCCAAACCCACAAGGTAACTCTTACTCCCCCTCTTAAAGGGAGTGAGGGGATATGAAGGCATATCAGAGGATTAAGATGGATATAATGGGATTTAGAGGGATTTGAAGGGATATCGGGGATTTGCAAGTATAACTGGAGAAATCCATCTATCCATCAATTTCTCCTAAAGCCTCTGTATCCCTTCATTGAGTTTAGCGCCGCAGGCAAAAATTTTGAGAATTTTGGAAGGTCAAGAGCCAGATCTCTTCCATTTTCTGCGCCGCAGGCGAAAATTTTTAGAATTTAGGAAGGCCAAGAGACAGATTTCTTCCATTTTCTACGCCACAGGTGAAAATTTTGGAAAATTCATGACTAGTTTAAAATTTCTAAAATTTTTTCAAGTTTAAAATATTAAAAAAAATAAATTTGCATATTTAAAATCAAGATCAAAGTTTAAAAATATTTATTTTTGAGAAGAAAAATTTTCTCAGTCTCATTTCAATCGATGCATTCGAACACCATACCTATCAAAATAGCTAGATGGGTGAAGTCAGTTAACCTAACCACTCGCCCACCGACCAACAAAAGGAAACAGGAGAAAATATAAATATTCATTTCCCTTTTCCTTCATATATTTAACATCAAAGTCCCGATCCCGTTCCGATCTCTAGTTAATTAATGCAGTTTGAGTCGGGGTCATAAAAATTTTTCGGGGTTCGGGGTCGTCGGGGTCGAACTTTCGGGGGTCGGGGTTTTCGGGGTTGGGAATGTCGGGGTCGGGGTCGGGGTTTTAGGTCAAAAAGTGTCGGGGTTCGGGGTCGGGGTCGGGGTTAGTCGGGGTCGGGGCGCAACCCTACAGTAAACTTATCAGAATAATGTCTAACGTTTATATAGTACCTCTTCGGAACAAGACAATTGAATATTGATAGTTGAATCTCGAAGCTGTAAGACATTATATTATATTAGTAAAGTGACTGGGCTATAGCTATTTTTCTCCTTCAGCTAGTGCAAAAGGTTAATCCGCGGCTGGTAGCGAACCAGCATCTTCAGTAGACCGGACCGATGTGTTCTCCATTACACCACACCGCTTTCTATACAGCCTTAGGAATTAAATAGCTATATACTTTACATATCTAATCTATCTAAATTATTAATTTCACTCATTTTGAGTTAATACAATCATGATACTCTCTTCTTTTATTTTATTTTCACATTCTTTAATGAAGTCAGACAAACCAGACCTGGTCATGGATATATATGGATACAGATAATATCAAAATGTCTGCGGATTTCCGCCTGTATCCGTCTGTATCCGCCGTAAATATACGGATAGGATCCGTGACAAGATCTGAGACAAACTATAAAACCATTGTATAAATCCTTAAAGTCTCCAGCATTAAAAAATAATTATAAAAATAAATCCAAAAATAAAAAATCCAATCTATATATTTTTATTTAATGTACTTTAAACGGTCATTCGCCGATTATATGTGAACAGCTTTTTTTATTTAGAATTTGTGGACAGCACTACTAAAATAATATTTAATTTTACCAATATATTTGCTATAGTTATTTACTGGCTACTTTAAATATATCTGCGCAGATGATTAAATTAAAGAAAAAAATAAATGAGAGGAAATTTATTTAAAAAGAAATCATAATAAATAAATTTATATTCTTCTTTTAATAAAAATATGAATAATATTAAAATTAAAAATTTGTTTAATTTTCATTTATTTATTATTTTATTTATTATTTTGTTAATTAATAATGATTTTTATTATATTCCTCGACATAAGAATAATGTAGTTTTTTAAAATTATTATTAAAAATAATGTTATTTGAAAGTATATAAATGTTTTTAATAATTCCGAACGGTGCTGGGAAGTTTCGGATTCTTGTACTCGTACTTAGTGTAATCTTTTTCTCTTGCTATACTTACACCACCCCACTTTTTGGGCGTGTACTTCGTACCAAATACTAAGTATAGTACGAAGAATTTTGGTAGGAGCGTCCAAAGACTGTTTCCGAATTTCCAAAAACCAATCCAATTACTGGCATCTAAATTAAAATTTAAAATTAAAATTTGATAGAAAAATAACTTTTTACTAGTTATGTCCAAAATTTACTTAAGAAAATCTAAAAATTAAATTTATAAATAAAATTTTCTTTTAAAATGAAAACAAAAAAATATCTAAAAAATTTGAAAAAATATTTTTAATTTATAGAATTGCTCAATTTTGCCTTCTTCATCAATTTGTTGTTTAATTATTTTTAAATCAAATATTTGTCTTTTAATTAATGAAAAAAATAAATTAAAAAAAGAAAATAATATAAATCTAATATTTAATTTAAAAAGAAGAAAAACTACATTTTTTGCAGAAGCTATTCAATTTAAAAATTTTAAATGGGAAAATAATGAAGAAAATAAAAGAAAATTAATTATATCTGAAGAAAATGAAGAAAAATTTTTAAAAAACGGAAAAAAATATTTTGATGAAAAAATAAATGAATCGAATGAAGGGAGTAATCAAAGAAGTTCTAATGAATTCAAAATAAGAGAAGAAAAAAGCTTAAAAGTAAAAAATAAATAAAAACAATTAAGTAAAGCAGCTGGGATATAGCTATTTCTCTCCTTTAGCTAGTGCAAAGGGTTATTTGGAAGTTGGTAGCGAACCAGCATCTTCAGCAGACCGGACTGATGTGTTATCCATTACACCACGTCGCCTAAAGCCCAGCTATAGGAATTAAATATGCTTTAGAATAGCTATAGAATTGTAATTATTTTTCCTCAAAAATTATTTTTTTTCTAGTCTTCAAATCAAAATGAAATAAAAAAACAAAATTTCTTTTCTACAAAATCTTTTTCAAAAGAAAATAAAAGAAAAACAACAAAGCAACCTTCTAATTTAATAACAACTACAACAATAAAAACACCTATAAATAGAGAGAGGAAGGAAAGGTCTGAAGAGGAAGATGAAAATGAAGAAGAAGAAAAAGTAATTATTATTTAAAATAATATTTAAAATACACCCAGTATGGGAAGGCTTAGGTTTTGAATTTTAAAATTCACCAAGGATGTGTTTCGCTGAATTTTCGTCATTTTGTGTTTTTCTTTCGTCTTTTGAATTTCAAATTAACTTATTCATTTTCATACTCAACTTTCGCTTTTTACAAGCCTTCTCACGGAAAAGACGAACGTCGGTTGCAAAAAGCGAAAAGCAAAAATGCTAAAGTTAAATTGAAAAGCGAAAGATGAAAGACAAGTCACCAAAAAAGGCAAAAATTCGGTGAAAGGCGAAAGTGACCGCCACATCCATAATCCCACAGCTAAAACTATATATTTCAAGATTTCTAAATTATGGAAATCTAGCTATTTATGAGTTTGGGGTAAGAAGGTTCAATTATAATACCTGTCTTTTAAAAATACCTACATATATATTTTTTAAATAAGATCTTCATCAATATTAATCAAAATACTCATAATAAAACATCTCTAAGCTCCCACCGTCCACATAATAAAATTAATGGACATCAAACTAAAACTTCAATAAAACACGGAAATATTGGGGGAATAGGTGGATTTAGAAAAACAACAAATTGGAACGAATTAAATTCATTAGAACAACCGATAGCGTAAATAAATATTTTTTAAATATTCAATTAAAATTTAAAAATAAAGAATGATGTTACGTTGTCAAGATTTGGATACACGAGAATTAATTCCTTCAGCTACAGCTTGCCATAATTTACGTAGCGATAAGTTACTGTGAATGTTTTCTTAAATATTTTTTTGGCAAAAAATATTTTTTTCCTTAAAATTTTAGGTTTGTAATTATTTATTCCACGAAGTTGATAAAAGAAACGGGCGTCGTGATGTAAAATGCAATTTACAAGGTTTAGAGGATATAGCAGAATCTTGTAGAAAAACTTGTGGAATTTGTTGTGAAGATATTAATTATGCTTGTGAAGACGATAAAAGTATTTAGGAAATTAAATATAAAATATTTTTTGAGTAGATGGAATAATTGATTGTTCGAGACAAATGGAAAAATGCCATCAGAAAAAATGGTTTGGAGTTTTATCACGTTTTTGTGCCGGATCGTGTGGACTTTGTGCAATGACTTCTTGCAGAGATTATGGTAATTAAATTTAAATATTTTAAATGGAACTGTTCTGACTGTTACATACATATAGCTAGATAAAAATAAAAAGACGAAAGTCTTATTTATCAAAATAATTTATTTATCAAATAATAGTTAGCAGATAATATTTGAAATTTTTTGTATTATTATACAAGTAAATAAGCAAAAATATCAGAATTATTGTCTTAATAATGGAAATAACCAGAATTTGAGATCGAGCTTAATCTAAGGGCCAAGATAAAGGCAATTTTCAAGATAAAGGCAATAAAGGCATTTTCAAGAATTTCTGGTTCATTGCGGAGGCTAATGGCCATTATTTCAAGATTTAAACCAAAATATTTCGTAGCAAAAGGAGAATGTTTTTCTTAAGAAAAAAATTATTTTTCCTTTCAAAACTTGAAGTATTTAGATAATTCTTGCCGTGTAAGAAAATCTTTATGTTTAAAAACTGATTCCGTTGATTATATGCGCGAAAATTGTGCGAGAACTTGTGGTTTTTGTGTTGTTGGAGAAGAAAATGGAATAAATAATGGAAATGAAAGATTGCCAGAAAATAATGGGAAGCCTGTAGTTGTTGAACGTTGGTTGTTTTGTTTAAGGATTTTTGAACAATTATTTAAAAGGTCCTCTATCACAACATCGTTTAACAGTTCCTGATTGTTCAGACAAAGTTGGGAATTGCACAACAAATGCCCACCTTTGTGGAAGTCCTGTTTATGGAGAATATATGGTAATTAATGTTTATAAGCTGTACAAAATTCGTACTCGTACTTAGGACAAAATACGAGTTCGAGGAAAAATAGGCTAGTACGAAGTATGAGTACGAGGCCAAAAATTAGCAGGTACTTAGTATGAATACGAGCAAATCTGAAATTTATAAACACTGATGGTAATTAGTAGATTTCATCGGAAGTTTCGGTTCTGGTTCAGGAAAGTTCCGGTGTTTTTTTGGATCCGGTTCCGGCTCCGGTCAAAATTTCGGTTCCTTGAAACACTAGTAATTAGTGATTCTGTTGTACTAATTTAGAAAACAAATGTAGACAAGAAAAGAAAATCTTTCCAATAGAAAACCTAATGGATAGTAATTAAATAATAGGATTAAAACACCTTTTTGAAATATTATTTTTTGTTTTTTAAAGATTAAATTTTGTACAAAAACTTGCTTAAAATGTGATAAAGCAAAAGTTAATAAGAAGGAAAAAACAAAAATAATAAACGAAATGTCTCCACAAAATCCTCTTCAAGTTGTAATTCAGCCATTAGTGGAAAGTCATGAAAAGGATAAAAAAAGAATTGAAAGAGAATGTGAAGATAAAAATGAAAAGTAATTCTTCAAATATTAATTTACTATTAATTATTTTTGTTTAATTTAAAAGATGCCAACAATGGAAAAAAGCTGGTTTATGCAACAAAATTGGACCCCCAAAAGAAGTTGATTCTCTTAACTATTATTTAGATGATTCTCCACAACAATATAATAAAATCTGTCCAAAATCTTGTGGAATTTGTTTTTGATAAATATTTTATTTAAATTTATTTGTTTAATTTTTAAATGTTTTATTTAAATATATTGATTTCTGTTTTTAAAAAAGTCGATTTTTCAATCATGTGGCAATGCCAAAATCCCTATCCCCTCTCCATACTGTTAGTCGTTGAATTGGCATGTGGAAATCAAATCAACAAAGAAATTTAAGAAGCGAGAAGGAAGGGATGGGAGGAGTGGAGAGGAGGGGAAGGGGAGATGTCATATGAAAAAAATTTTTAGAGGGAGAAAATTCTCTCCCCCTCGCAATAAATGCTATTCATTTTATTACTCTTTAAAATTTTTTTTATAAAAAAATATATAAAATTTTATTTTATTTATAAATAAAAAAAATTAATAAATATAATAAATAATAAATAAAAAAAAATTTAAATTTTATTTATTTAAAATTCTCTCCTCCTAATACTATTCATTTTTTAATTTTTAGAATTTTTTAATAAAAAAATATATAAAATTTTTATTTTTTATATTTTTAAATTTTAAAATATTAGCATATTATAATAGTCAGAAGGGTTATTTGACTTTTGAGGAGATTGAGCATACTGTATTTTCTTGTATAGGTAATTTGTTCTTTCAGCATTTCAGGAGCAATTAATTAAGGGAGGGAAGTTGGTTCTACTTGACCTTGAGTCCAATCGAACTTTATGAGTTCAAACAAAACTTAGCACAAAAATAGAACCAGAAACATTAATAGTGTCAGGTGGGCTCGAATTCGAATTTATCGAATTTATTCGAAAACAAATCAAACAACGTACAAAACGCCGCGCTTCGCACGGCGTTTTGCGGCACGCGACTCGCGGAAGTCAACGGTTGCTGGGTCCCCGTTTTACTGATTTTAAGCTTTGAAATGCCCCCTAAGTATCAGCACAAAGACAGTTATTCCAGCGATATCCAATTAATTAAAATTCAATTGAAGTAATTAGACTCATAAACTGTGATGGACTCATAAACTGCAGTAGAGCCAAAAATTTTTACTTAGAATAATAAAACATGTTCGGATTTATTAAATTTGATTGGGCTCATGAAGTTTGTACATATAAAGTTCAATTGGACTCATAAAGTCAAGTAGAACCAGAAATTTTCGATTTAAGAAATTTAAATTTTTGGGGAGTGTAATTATTTTTCATCTTCTTACTATATGGAGTAAAATTAAAAGAGTAAGGGTAATTTTTGAGAGGTAATTAATCGAAAAACACGGTAACTTTTCTGGTATTAACATAGAAAGGCATTTTTACTTATAAAAAATTAATGCTGCTGATTGTAAGTAAAATAAATAAATAATAGCTGATTGTTTTCTGTCTTAATTAATGAATTTTAAATTCCTTATTTGCGCCTTTCAAGTAATTTAAATTTAAGATGAAAATTAATTTAGCAATATTTTTATTGCTTTTATTATTTTCAATATTAAACAATTTAAATGCTACTGGAGGTAAGGGAAAAGGTAAAGCTCCTGAAACTTCAAGTCAACATAACTATAATTTACGTTCTTCGAAAAGAAATCATCGAATTTTGGTCATTGCTGCGTATAACACATTTATACAAAGCCATTACAAATTTGCAAAACAAATTTCTTTGATTATTGCGGATAATGATTTAAGAAATCATATTAAATCAATTGTAAGTATCAAGTACTTCACTTGGGAAATTGGCAAAAAATTAAAAATTTTTATGATTTTTTAAATCAAACTTAAAATTTAAATGCTGAGCGCCGGAGGTGAGCGCGATGGCGGCACAAAAGTTCTAGGCGCAAAAGTCATGACACCGATTCACTTTGACACGTGTGGAATGAAAAAAGATAAGAAAAAAGATAAATATAACAAAAGATAAATATAACAAGTTTGAGAGAATAATTTAATTAATTTTAGAAAATCGTTGTTCCCGTTCTTGATGACAATTGTCCAGAAAATTTTCAACATGAAATTGTTAAAATGGAATGTGTAAAAGTAAATCTTGCTGACTTGAAAGAAGATAAAAAAGATTTTTTCATAAAATCTGAAAATTTACAAAATGTTCCAGTAATGAATAGACAAGGAGGGAATTGGGAAGGTGTTCCTTCAAAAGAAGAACTGAAACATTTTCGTCTTCAAAATGATTTTTACGTTTTACAATTTGAGTTTTTTATAAAATTTTTAATTTAATAATCCTCTAAATTTATCTTTGCTTAACATATTTATCAGGGATGGGCATTGGCACATTTTAAGAATCAGAAACGGAAGAGGAATAAATTTTTATTCATAATCAAAAATTCTCACATTGTGTTTGAGAATAAAATTTCCTCTAAGTGGTTAAGTCTAAAAAAGTGACCAAAGCCAATGCACTCTAAAAAACTAGAACCAAAAATCCACATAAAGCATTGATTACGGTTGTCAGATCCTGTAAAAATGCCTGAATATCCCTATCCGATATCCAAACCTAAATTTCGGATATCCAGGGTGAATAATTGTTCGGTGACGGAGGGTATGGTTGGAAAATTCGAATAAGCATTATTCCTCCTTTTAAGAGCCCGAAAGGGGAAAAGCCCAACCCTGATAAGTAGTATATTATTTTAGTGTTGGCTAAAAATACAAAGTTGATAAAGAAATTAAAAAAAGAACAATATACAATTGGTCTTTGTGAAATGTTCCATACAGGAGCATTAATGATTTTCCCACTTGTTGGTATTTCAACAAACAATGTTGTTCTGACTCGAACTTTGCCTTTTGATACCCATTTTTATTATTTAATGGGTTTAAGTGAAATAATTATTTCTAAAAATATTCCTGGTAAATTTAGTATTTAAATTTTTTTTAGAAATTTAAATTTATTTTAAAGAGCGACGAACATTATTAGCTGTTGGAAGGGAAGCATTAACACAAACATACAGAATTAGAGCTGATTATGAAAATGAATGGAATACAAATGAAATATATTATAAAAATGCCGAAAAAGCATTTAAAATAATTTATAGAAAAAATAAAATTGAATTTAAAAATTTTAAAACTTTAATTAAGGAAACAAAATATATTTTTTGTAATCTTCAACCAAAATTAGATTTTGAGGAAATTGAAGAAATATTTTTAACTGAGGAAAATTTAAAAGAAAAAGTTAAATTTATTGGCGGAATTATTGCTACGGAGCCTGCACCAATTACCCACGTAATTTTTTTGCAATATTACGAGTCCAATAATGTGTTTTGTTAATATTATGTATCATTCTAAACTATAGTAAAGCTTGTGCTGGGCCAGGATGGTATTGGGATGTTGGGCGGGTTGCCGGATTCAGTTTAGCCACAAAAATTGCACTCCAAAGTAAAGAAGACAATTCACAAAGTATGTTTGGGTCTGAGAAAGCTGTTAAAAATTTTATGCAAAATTCCTTAGTCCGTCGAACATTTTTATTGGACTCATGTGTATGTATAGGCCAGTTAGACTTTAATAAATTCATTTTAAAATAAAGGAAACACAGCAATTACTGGAGCTCGCTAAAGCTTCAGCAAAAGGAAGATTTAAAGGTATTATTATTGTCTGTTTTGGAACATTAATTTCGACTAAAAAAATGTCTGTTGATTTATTTGAAAAATATTTAAATGTCTTTAAATCCTTTAAAAATTATTCATTTATCTGGAAATTTGATTTTGATGATAATGAAGACCCAAAAAGAGAAATGAATATCCCAGAAAATGTTATAATTCAAGAAGGGTATATTCAACAAACAACACTTTTAGGTATATTGTTAAACTATAAACATTTAAAGATTTTTGGATCACCGAAAAATAGGGCTTTGGAAAGATGTGATCCAAGATTTTTTGATAAATTAGCTTAGACTTATTGGAATATTGAGATCCGACAGAATTTTAGGGTCAATTGAAATAGCGATTTTACGCCCTTCGCTTTAAAATAGAACTAGGTTTTATATATGTATGTTGATATCGTACTACTATGCAAATCTCCACATTATCATTACAATAATTTTCTCAAGTCTGGACTGTGAATGTATGGTAACCAAAACAGAATAAATTAGTCTTATCGTTAGATTAATTTAGGTTAAGGACCAACAACATGTTAAAGGATTACATAGTTCCATTAATAATAATTGGAGGGGTAATTATTAAAGAGAGTGAGTGTAAAAAAGAGATTATTTACGGGGGATTATTATATTTTTGAAGGTAAGGAGGATAGGAAATAATTGTTTCAGCATACTTCTGGAGTACATAAATATTAATCAGAAAATGAGTCAAATCTCGATCAATCTCGCTTATAACCAATCAAACCTCGCTTAACCACATACATACTATTCGGGTACACCCCAACGTACCGCGAGGCCAACGTACCGCAGAGCTATAGCTTCATTCAAAATGGCCGAATCCGGGACGCCCTGATAAGGTTCGATTCAGCTCATTGAGATGCATCGAACCATACCAAGGCATCCCGGATTCGACTATTTTGAACAAAGTTATACAAGTACGTTGGGCTCGCGGTACGTTGGCCTGCTCCCATGCTATTCTTAATTTTTAAATATTTAGCTAATGAATTAACAACAGCAATGATTACACATTGCGGATATAATTCTTTGCTTGAAGGAGTTTATTTTCAAATTCCAATGGTTTGTATCCCAAATAATTCGGATCAACCATATAATGCATATGCAGCAGAATCACGTGGATATGTCGAGGAAGTTGATTTTAGAGATGAAAATTTGGAAGAGAATTTAAAAAAAGCTTTAAGAAAAGTTTTGAATGGTAGAAAATGGAAAAAGTATATTTAGAAATAAATTTGTATTTAAAATTCAATTTTTAGTGAATTTAACGACAATACAAACGAATTGAACGGGATTATGAATGAATCGAAAGGAAAATTTATTCAGGCTATGGAAGAAATGATTGGAAATTAGTAAAAGTTTGAAGGAAAGTAAAAGATTTTTTTTAAATTGGGTTATTTTATTTAAAAATTTTTTGGTTTTTTTTATTTTTAAGGGAATTTAAGTAACATTTTTTATTGGGATATCGGATTTTTTTAAACATTCAAAATTTGTCCTAATTGTTGGACACTTTTAAAATTTATGTATTTTGCATAACAAACTACAAATTCTTTATTAGGGTTGTTCACTAAGTTTATTAATTACATACAAGTTTTTTGTGTCTCCGGGTTCGGTCCAATTTCAACTTCCGTTCGGTTAACTAAAGTGAACAACCTAATACAGTAAATGCTGAAATTATGAACTTGTCAATTAGGGCGAGAGAATTCTGCGTTTATCAAAAGGAAAATTATTTAGGATATGGAAAAAATGATTGAAAATCCGTAAAAATTTAAAAGAGTACATACTATGTATGTATATATTAGTGATGTTCGGGTATCCCTCCTCCCGACTCGGGAAATTTTCCTTAGTTTTGGCCTCCCGATCCCAATCCCTATCGTTTCACGACCCGACTCTCGTTTCACGATTCCCGGGTTTTTTCTTCTCCCGAACATCACTAGTATATATTTTTTAAAGTAGGGTTATTTTATTTAAAATTTTATTGGTTTATTTATTTTTTTTAAAGGAAATTTAAATTTATGTAACAATTTTTTATTTATTGGGATATTTGATTTTTTTAAATTTTATTTTAAATAGCAAATTTATTTTCTATGAAAAAACTAAAGATTTGAAATGATGTTGTTCAGGGAAGTCTATTGGTTAAGAATTTAATTTTCGGTTCACCTTGGTTGGGCTAACCAGTCCTGAACAACATTAATATTTATTTATTTTTGCGACAATTTATACAATGTATTTTTTGTTTTATGAGTAAAGATTTTTGGGTTTTAATTGTAGAATTTAAAAATATTTAAGGGAGAAATTTAGAATAGAATTTTAGAGTTAATTCAGTTAAGTTGGGTAATAAAGTGAAGCTAATGCCTGTGAACATTCCCTAACCCATTGGTCAGCCAGTTAACTTAAAAAATTTTCCGGCAATAGAGAGTGTAGGTAAATGGGTGTACGTAAACTCTATCCAGGCCAAGGTTGGGTACTTCGAAAATTCTTGATAATATTTGTTCCTTATTTAATTCACTATGATTTAATCTTCATTCAAGAGGATTTACATAGGTATATAAAAAATAAATTAATTGTTTTTTTAATTTTTAATGGCTTTTGTTTGAACGTTAAAAATTTAAAAGAAATAAAAATATTTTTTATTATTCATTATTTAGACATTTCTTTTTCTAATTTCTCTTTATTTACTTTAAAAATCCAGAGCATTTGTTGTTGATTAAATAAAAATATAAATAGATAAGCAGGTAATTAAATTTATTTTTAAACATATAAATTGATAAGAATTATAAATGTTTTTGTTCATTTTTAAGTCATTTAATATTAAAGAGTAGGTAAATTAATTTAGTCAGCAGTCTGACTGAAATTAAGGTATAATTATTATTTTAGTTAGCCAATTTTAATTAAAAATAATATTTTCAAAAAAAGTAAAATGTTAATTAAAATAATTATTTTTCTTTGTTTAATTGCTTGTTATGTTAACGGAATGAGACAACAAGCTGTAGCTGTTAAAGGAATTTTATTATGTGGGAATCGTCCCGCTGGGGGTGTTAAAGTAAAACTTTGGGACGAAGCAAGTATTTATGTAAATTAATTAAATAAAAGTTTTTTTCTTAAAAAAGGATGATGGGCCTGATCCAGATGATGTTTTGGATGAGGTTTTTAAATGAAGTTTAAAATTTAGTTTTGTTTAAAACTAGGCTTTTACTGACGGTTCTGGCTCTTTTTCATTACGTGGATCTACTCGTAATTAATTTTATTTTTAAAAATTTATTTAAAATTATTAAGGTGAGTTGACCACAATTGATCCAGTTCTAAAAATTTATCATGATTGTGATGATGGAATAATGCCTGGACAAAGAAAGGTGAAATAAATTAGATATAAAAATTCAGTTGGTTAGTTATAATGGAATCCTTGTTAAAAGCTTAATTCTTCTAAAAATCAATTAGCCGAATTACCAGACGTTCAGTTCACTTTACAAGATGAGAATATCCATTTTGCGGGCCCGGTTCTACTAAAAATTTGGAAAAGTTACAGGCCTTGTAACTGAAAAGATTTTTTATAATGAACATACAACTAACTAGCTTTATTAGAATATTCACAAATATATGCAAATATTAAGGTTAAATTGCGTATTCCTTCACAGTACATTTCTTCTGGAGGTTTATGTTGGGATTGGGTTCCGAAGCCTTTCGAGGATTATTCAAATTATATTCTTTAAATTATTTATTTACATTTAACTATTTACAAATAAAAATATATACATAGCGAAAAGAGGGAAAGGGGACAATTACAAGAGTCTGGCCAGAACTCACATAAACACTTCTAATTAGATATTAAGATAAGATGAATGACCATTTTGGATGAGTATTTATAGGGGACATTAACAGGTCAAGATTGGGGTAAACAAGTGAATAACAAATAATAATATAAGGGTCGGGAATTGTGATAAACTCTGATAACGGTCGGGATTCCTTTTAATATAGGAAAAGGTCAAAATATTTGTGCCTGTGAATGCACGTGAATACATCATTTATTTTTAGTTTGTTTATTTGATTAGGAGGGATGCAGCATTCCTTCCCCCTTTATTTGAACGTCCACGTTCAAAATTGTAGTTTAATTTTTTTTTAAATGAGGGTAATTTAGGCTATTTTATTAATGTAATATATATTTTTTTAATATTCTACAAGATTTAAGAATTTAATTTCCTCATCGTACAATTCCGAACGACGGTTTTTTTAATACTTCCTTACAATTTTACTCCGACCAAGCTTTATCTTTAAAATTTTAATTTTTATTTTGATTGTCTCTCGTCTTGGCGACGGCTTTCAAATTAATAGTATACTTTTATTAATTATTGTAAAAGCTATAATTCGCTTTGAATTATTCTTTAGTTTTCTTCTTTAATGTTTCTTTTTTTTTCAGCTTTTTTTTTTGCCAAATTCTCCGAAAAATTAATTATAGGGATATTACGTTGAAAAAGAAAGGGTTATGGGTTGTTTTACATGAGTACAGAAAAATTTTTGGTAAATAGACGGAAAACAAAGTGAGGTGAAATTTGGATAGTTAGCAATAAATGTTAAAAGGGGTTTTATTACAATCCAGTCAAACACTTTGTAGAAGAGCAGCGATTTTAGTTGAGTTCCTTTTTTGTTTTCAAGTTGCAGAGCAGACTTTTTGTTTCCATTTAGTTGATTTTTTGAACATTTCTTCATCCTTCCTGAGTTGATTTTGCTGCAGAGGCCTATGTTTTTATCGTTGTAGGAAGTTATCTTCTTCTGATGTTTCGGTCGATTCTCCCAATTTAAGACAGGGGATTTTTCTCTACTTTTTTCTCGGTTTTGGGATTATGTACTACATGTTATTTTATTAAATCTTACTTTTGGTTTTCTCAACAAATTTTCTAAAAAATATTACTCCATGTGCGACTTTTGCGTGTGACTTGTTGAAAATTGACGGCTTTTATCAAGTCCCGGTGAATTATTTTACTAACAATTTCTTCGGGCATTTCATTATTTTAAAACAAATTAGTGTTTTTCTCGGCGAGACTAATGTTTATTTTCTGACGGTATTTGATTTTTTTCCCTGCCGGTGTTTCAGCTTATCAATTTAGGTATTCATTTCCCTTTTAAACATTCGATTTGCCGGTGAATCTCCTATTTTTTTAGGGATGGGTGAAGACCTACATATATTCTTTTAGTTCTATTTTATTTGCTTCTCTTATCTCATATTTTTTTTAATTACTCCTATTTTTAACATTTTCAAATGTTTATTTAATTCTGCTTGATATTTTTCCGATACTTGGTAAGGTCGTCAATAGCCGGAATTTCAATGTTTGTTTAAATTGTCGGAGCAATTTATAATGTAAAAATTGTCATTTTCATTTTTTTTTACTACACTCGCCTTTTTTCATGTTCTATTTCTAATTTTTCTCGCTCTTCCATAGTAAGATTTCTTTTTGTCCTGCATTATTAATTAATTGTGTGTTTTTTTTTGAAATCAGATAAAGCGGGAGTTTTGTGCTTTTTTCTTCTCGGAAGCAGCGGTTTTAAATTTAATCTCTACTTTTCCTATAGTAGGTACTATTCTCTCTCCAATCTCTACTATGCCGTATATTTCAGGGGGTTGAATTTTATTAATTTTTAAGTTTTATGCCATCCTTTTACCTAACAATAATATGTGGGCTCCTTTATCTAATAGAATTCACATTGATTTGTCAAGTTAGCAACAATAGTTATTTGTGGTATTGCTCATTTATTAAAATTCTCTCATATCAAAAAAATTTATGTTAAATCTCAATTTAAAATACCATTTCTCTGCATTTATGAGTATTATTTTATTTTAGCTGTTTGATTATCACATTCTCTGCATTAGTGAGTGGTCTTTTTGCGATAATGACTTGTTTTGAACTGCTAAGTTAATTATTCTAATAACCTTTTAGATTTTATCTATAACATCGTTTTACAATATCTACGTTTTACAATATTTAAGTACAATATTGTATCAATACTCGTGAGTCTTACGTTTTCTAAACGTAGGTTTTGACGGTTTTATTCTTTTGCTTTTTATTATTTTAAGCAGGTTTTCATTTTTCAAAAATACATATTCTCTGTTTGATCTCTTTTATCTCTCTGTTTTATCTTTTGTAAGGTTATTTTATTTTTTTTTTCTGATTCTGTCTTTTCATTAAGTGAGCGGCCTATATTTTTTTTCAATTCTAAATAGGGATTTTTTTTTTGCTTTTGTTTTATATAATAGCCTCTGTTTTTAGTTGCAGGATTAGTTTAACTGACAAAACATTTTAACACGTTTATTTGAAAAAATACTTTCTTGTTTTACTCAATTTCATACTATACTTTTTTTTAAAATTATTTTGCATGCCTTTTTTTTTTTCTCATTTTTGCGCAATTGTTTTCGTTGTATTGAGCCTAAGAAAATTTATATTCATTCTGATCATTTCTTTTAATAAAATTTCTGCGCTTGAAAAAAAATTTTTTTTTTTTTCACACAAATTTTCACAAATAGTATATTTTTTTTAGTTTTAGTTGTTTTAAATCTATTACCAATACAATATTCACAAAATTTATTTCGAGATACATATTTCTACTATCTCAAGGAGTATTTGGCTCTTTAAGCCTGCGGCGTATGCACCCAGCTTTACCCGCTTAATATCCTTTTCAGGGCACCTAGCCGACGGAGTGTGCACCTAGCTGCACCCGCCTTGATTCATTTCATTACTGTACAGATTTTCTTCATTATATTAAGTACTTGGCACTAAGCCGACAGAGTGTGCACCCAGCTTCACCTGCCTTCATTATTATATCTTTTTATTTACGTTAGATAAGAGATATGCAGAGGTAGCAAAGAGTATTTTTAAATACTGCGGCGCTACATTGTTTCTCTTATTTTTGATTTAAAACAAACGGTTTACTAATAATTTTTAACCAATCTCTTTTAATTTTTATCAAGCGATTTCATGTCATTCTTCTAGCTCAACTTTATTTTTAAATTTTATTTTCTTTAGGCTTTTATCGTTCGTTTTTGACTTATTCAACTTTATCTTCCATTTTCCTAATTTTTATTTCAATATTCTTTTAATTTTTTAGGCTGCAGAAGAGACTCTTAATTTGAGAAAATTTTTCTCATTTCTTAAAAAAATTCCATTTTTTTTTTGCAAAATTCTTACAATTAGACCATTTAAGGAGTTTAAGCTCGAGCTCTCAATTTTTGAGGATTTCTTAATCACTTTATTTTATTTTAGCACATTTAATTATTTCTAATTTCGACTTTACTGGAATTCCGTTTTTTTTTATGTGCTTTCATTTCTTGCGCATTTTCTCTCGACAAGGCTTGCCCGGGACAAGTGGCACCAAATGTTGGGATTGGGTTCCGAAGCCTTTCGAGGATTATTCAAATTATATTCTTTAAATTATTTATTTACATTTAACTATTTACAAATAAAAATATATACATAGCGAAAAGAGGGAAAGGGGACAATTACAAGAGTCTGGCCAGAACTCACATAAACACTTCTAATTAGATATTAAGATAAGATGAATGACCATTTTGGATGAGTATTTATAGGGGACATTAACAGGTCAAGATTGGGGTAAACAAGTGAATAACAAATAATAATATAAGGGTCGGGAATTGTGATAAACTCTGATAACGGTCGGGATTCCTTTTAATATAGGAAAAGGTCAAAATATTTGTGCCTGTGAATGCACGTGAATACATCATTTATTTTTAGTTTGTTTATTTGATTAGGAGGGATGCAGCAGTTTAGCAAGACGCACGTTTGATGTGTATGTTTTAAAATATTTTTTTAAATTATTTTCAAAAATTTTTAGCGGAGTCTTGAATCTCGAGACTATTTTTGCGAAAGAAGAACGAGACCTTCTTTGATTTTAAAAAGATGAGAACAAATACATAATAACAAATTATTATAAATAAATACTTAATAGAAAATTATATTCATTTGATATAAAATAAAATTACTTTTCACATTTACTAAGCAATTTAATAAAATTATTTTTTAAAACTTTTTTGATTGTGCTAAATATCTTGGAAATTTACTAGAAGAAAAATTATTAAAAAAATCTTTTATGCATATGTATTAAAACAAATTTATTTCTAAATGCTTAATTAAAAACCAAAATTATATTATTGGTTAATATTGGATATTATTGCAATTCCTTTCCTATATCCAATTATGAATTCTTAATAAATATTAATTAATATTTTAATAATTTTTCTTTAATTTTAAAAATTAAAAAATAAAATGTCAAGCTAAAATGCTTATGCAGTCTATTGATTTTATTATAAGCATTGGCCAAACAGCAAACAATCCATTTTTGTCCTCACTTTAAAAATTATTTATTTTATTTTTGCTTTATTCCCTTGCAAATTTTTATTAAAATTTTAAAAAAAATTAATTAAATGGATTAGAATTTTATATTAAAAAAAATTATTTTAATTTTTTATTTGTTTTTGTAAAATAAATGAATCGTGGATTGCTTGATTCATCTCTTCTCTCCTTTATCACATGTGAAAGTCTTTTCAATTTTGAATGTATTTTACAATATTTATTATTTTGAATATTTCTTTTTCTCTCTCCAATTTCTCCACATTTTTTTCTCGAATCCAAAACGTGTAAATTTTTATTAAAATGCCAACACGACACAAATAATAAAAAAATGAATAGAAAATTTTTTCTAAATAATTTTAATATATTCGCTTGCTATCGCTTAATAAAATCAGTTAGTTTTTCCCTTTCATTCCCCATTTTCATTCAAAAACCCGAAAAAAAATTATTAAATATTAAAAAATGACAGAAAGTACTAAATTCGAAGAAGATTGTATGCAATCTTCACCTAATGCTGGTTTTACTTCAGAAGATGAATTAGTTGTGTTTAGAGCAAGGAAAGTAGCCATAATTACTGGTATTTCTGGACAGGTAATACTTTTTTAATTAAAATATGTGTTACTTTAATGTTAGTGGATGGGGTTTTATTGGAATTAGATCATAAATTTTTACAAACTTGTTAGAAGTAGTTATTAACTTGCATCCTCACACGGGGCGTGCCAATTGTGTAAATGCTAGATAGAGACTACATTAAAGCGGCCTCCCGTTAAGTGCAAGTCGGGTGTTTTTTGAACCTGGTAAATGTTCGACTCATGTTTATAATTGAAAATGATGAAATTAGGTAGAATTACACTTAATTAATTGACACACGGATATTCTAAATAACTAAAATATCTAAGCATCCCTCTGTTTTTAATTAGTTACTCATACATATCTCACTGTTTTGTGTTGATTCAAGTATAAAATTAATTACGTATTTCTCCTTAACTAAACATAAAAATAATTTTTACACTATTTTTCAAAGGATGGTTCTTATCTGGCTGAATTTTTGCTTTCAAAAGGATATAAAGTTCACGGGATTATTCGGTCAGTTATTTTTATTTAAAATTAATTGTTGTATTTATCTAGTCGTTCTTCTTCATTTAACACTGCTCGTATTCAACATCTTTATTCTGACCCTAAAACTCATGAGGGAAGTGCCAGTTTTTCTTTACATTATGGAGATATGACAGATTCATCTTGTAAAAACAAATATTTTTATAAAAATAATTTATTTAAATTCAATTTTTTGGACAAAATACAAAAATTGTTTTGACTAAAAATTTTAACTAAAAAATAATTTTTTCAAATATTTTTAAAGGTCTCATAAAATTAATCAACACTATTCAACCAACAGAAATATATCACTTGGTAAAAATTATGAAAAGATTTTTTTAATATTTTAAAAATTATTTTAGGCTGCCCAAAGTCACGTCAAAGTATTTAAAATAATTTAAAAAATAATCTCAAATAAATTAAAAAAAGGTTTCTTTTGATTTGCCTGAATACACAGCAGAGGTAGATGCTGTTGGAACACTTCGTTTATTAGATGCAATTCACGCTTGTGGATTGTCTAATAAAGTACGTTTCTATCAGGCTTCGACATCTGAATTGTATGGAAAAGTACAAGAAGTGCCACAAAAAGTAAAAGGGAAAATTATTGAAAAATAATCAGAAATATTAAATTAATTTTAAGGAAACAACGCCTTTCTATCCTCGATCACCTTATGGTTTTGGATAAAAATAATTTATTAATAAAATTATTTTTTATAGCTGTTGCTAAATTATATTCTTATTGGATTGTAGTTAATTATCGAGAGGCATATAAAATGTTTGCGTGTAACGGAATTCTTTTTAACCATGAAAGGTTATCTGTTAATATATTTTAAATTAATAATTTTTTTAATTAAAAAAATTAATTCTTCAGTCCACGACGAGGTAAAAATTAAAAAAAATTATTTTTAAATATTAAAAATAAATTAAGGAGAAACTTTTGTAACAAGAAAAATAACTCGAGGAGTTGCGAAAATAGCACTTAATCAACAACAATTTATTGAATTAGGTAATATAAATGCTCGTCGTGATTGGGGACATGCTCGGGAATATGTTGAGGCTATGTGGATGATATTACAACATAATGAACCTGATGATTTTGTTATTGCTACAGGAAAATTTTATACGTAATTAATTTATATTAAATTAAGTAAATATGTATTTAACAGTGTTCTATAAGTCCAAAAATTGTCCCTTATTTTGGGGAGAAATGGCATTAAAAACTAATTTAAGCAGAACGGATGGTAGGGGATTCTTTTGAGTCGTGGATGGGTCCCATAACTTTTTAAGGTGCATTTAGGAAATCTATAGCCGTGGAGCCAAAACGACCCTCTAGTGGGCCATAGGTGACTTCTCAAATGGAAATAACTCGGAGGGTTGAACCGAGGTGAAAAAGTGATTTCTAATTAGACTGACATATACTTAAATTTGTATTTATTCTAATTTTTGAATACCCCAAAAATTATCATTCAATTGGAGGTGTATATTTAATTAGAATAGATACGGTATAAATTTAGTAATTTTTGAGAATCTTATAGGAATTTAACCGTTCAATTTAATTTAAATAATTATAGAGTTCGAGAATTTGTTGAATTGGCATTTAAAGAAATTGGAAAAGAAATAATGTTTGTGTTTTTGAATAAATTAATTTAAATTTAATTAAAAATAAAAGGTGGGAAGGTGAAGGAATAAATGAAATTGGAATAGAGAAAGGAACAAATATTTTGCGTGTTAAAGTAAATCCAAAATTCTATCGACCAACAGAAGTTGAACAATTAATTGGTGATCCAACTAAGGCAAAGGAGAAACTTGGTTGGAGTGCTAAAATTAGTCTTAAAGTAAAAATTCTTTCTAAAATATTTTAGAATTTATTTCTTAGGAACTTGTACATGAAATGGTACAGAGCGATAGTGAATTGATGAAGAAAAATCCTTTGGCATAAATATAAGTATTAAAATATTTTTTGGAAGAAAACGCAAAAAATGATGGAATATATGTGAAGTAAATTAACTAACTTATTTAAAAAAATAAATATAAGCATAATAATTATTCCATAAATAATTTATTAAATAATATGTTAACCAAAGCTAATAAAATATAATACTAATTAGTACATTGTTTTATCATAATATATAATTTGTTATAATAAAATATATTTCTATTTTTTAATATTTTAACGTCTAGTTCCGTCTTCAAAAAATACCCCTCCATCCAAAGCACAGTATTTTGGACAGATTCCTCTCTCACCAGGCGCACCTGGATGTCCAGGTTGCCCTTCTTCCCCAGGCTTGCCAGGTGGCCCTGCAGGACCAACAGGTCCAGGTGGCCCTTGCGGGCCTGGAAGTCCTTCAGAACCTGGACGTCCTGGCTCTCCTGCATCGCCAGGCAATCCTTGAGAACCCTAGAATTGAAATCAACTTGTAATAAGTAGATATAATGACCGGTTCTCCAGGAGGCCCCGGATCTCCAGGCATAGTTGGAGTGGAAATTGCTGGTCGGCCAGCTTCACCTCTTGCCCCGTCTCTTCCTTGACTTCCAGGTGATCCTTGAGGGCCAGGAGGACCTTGTGGCCCTGAAATTTTTTTATTAAGTTAATTAATTTCAGATGTATAAAACCTGGAGTTCCATCATTTCCAGTACGACCAGGATGCCCTAATGGGCCTGGATTACCTTGTTCGCCCAATGGTCCTAAAAACAATATAATGTTAGGGTAAAAATAGATTTTCTGTTAAGCTTAATTTCAAAAGCAAAAACATAAAGTAAAAATAATTAAGGATATAATAAAAGAATATTTTACCTGGAGGGCCCGGCTCTCCAGGAGGACAGGCAATGCACGGAGGTTGTGTCACCTCCTCACAAATAGCTGGAAGTCGACCAGGAAACCCAGGGGCGCCAGGGGCTCCTGGTCTACCTGGAATCCCATTTCGGCCAGGAGGACCAGCAGGACCTGGCAATCCAGGGATACAACACCCTAAAATGATTGAAAATATTATTTTTTTCAATCTTAATTGCCTTCGCATTGCGATTTTGATTGTCGACGGAATCGATGAATATCTGTTTTATTTTGACGAAATGCTAAAGGCGCCTCATTAAGTTCGCCTCCGTAAAGAAAACCAGCTTCTTCCCCTATATCACTCATTTCTAGAATAACTTCCTGAGCAGATAACTTTAAAAAGAAATAAAGATATTTTTATGGATTTAATTTTTAAAAATTTATTTCTTTTACTTTACAAAAATCCATTTCATGTTGTACACGTAAATGTAAATTATTTATATAATTATTAGCTAATGGTAAAGTTATAAATATAGCTACAATAGTGGCGAGTGAAAAAGAAATTGCTGTATAAACCTTAATTTAATTGGTAAAATTCCAAATTATTTTTTGAAATACCACAAATCGATATGCAGATTCGCGGGATTCAGATTCTACCAACATGCTTAAGAATAATCTGTAAATTATATTTTATTGACTACAACATAATTTGGAAAATAAAATGAGACAAAAAATATACAGAAATATTTCAAATATTTTAAAGAGAAACACATAACTGTGATAATCAAAGTATCGTTCTTGATGATAAACATTTTTGGATCGAGTAGTGTCTCGATCAACCCCTACTATATGGAAAATGGCTAGAATAATTGTTAACAAAGAATTAACGTTTAAATTAAAGGTTTTGTAATAAAATATTGCGGAGTGAATTACGGGTTTAGCCGAATAGATCCACAAAAATCGGGAATTTTTTTATCAGCTAGAATTCTGTTGTGTACATATATTCTTTCATTTTTTACAAGGATTAAGATTCGGTATTTAAAAATATGAAAGAAAAGGTGTAACAAAAATTAAAAATATCTCCCTCATAGTCAAAAATACAAGCAAATCTATAGTTTTTAAAAAATTAGGACATCCTTTGAAAAAAGCAGGGAAACTTATTATTTAGTTATTGAATGTAATATACATATAAAGAATTATGTCGGAAAGCGGCTAAAATAAGAAAAAGCAATTATAATACTATTCGATTTTATGAGGAGTTGTGGTTTTGGCTATACAAAAATGGGAAATGGTGATTATCTTACAAAGAAAAGAAGATTTGAGCTTCTTCCTATGTTGTTAGTTTTTTTGTTAGTTGCGCAGTGCATAGAGGCAGAACATTCCCTCGGGCAATTGCTCGATATAAGCCGGCTATTATAACGATTATTGAAAATTAAAAGTTTTTTGAGAGAATTTTGTGAGAAATTTTAGAGAAAAGAAGAAAAGGAAATACAAAAAATCAAGCAAATGATTGTGCCTTAAATAAAAGGAAGAAATATGGAAGGAAAATCAAAATCCCTTTGTTATGTTACAATCGAAGCTCTTTAAGAGATCGCCTCATTATTGAAAATTAAATGGGGATTTCTGACGTATGAGGAGAAAATAGTATGGAAAATTACCCAAGTCGTTATTAGAGAGATTTTATTTTTTGTTAATTTATTTCTTAAAATACATGCTCGAATAATTACTCTCTCAAATACTTGCCCCCTCTCAATTAATTACCCTCCAACCAGAGATTGAAACAATAATTACACAGGGTAATTATTTGAGGATACACGGTAAAATAGAAATCTAAAATAATTTTATGACTAAATTTTCTTTAAAACATTGATTCATTGACGAAAGGTCAGTTGACGAAAAGTCGGGGAGCCGGATTTTTTTTGCAGAATAAATTTTGTTGTAAAATTGTATTAAATTATATTTAATTTTATATTAATTTTTTTATTTTAATTTTTTTAGATTAAATTTTAAATACCTAAATTTTATTTAGAATAAATGTTTAATTTTACAAATAAAAATATTTATTTAATTCGTTCATGTTCTTCATTACAATCAGTTTCAAATGCCTATATGAATTATGTCAATGAAGGAATTTTAAAATATGATGAAAAACAGGTCAATTTAATTATTATTTTTTAAAAAAAATTTTATTTTTAGATTAAAATAGTTAATTATTTTGATTCTCTTTTAAATGATCTAAACAAATATTCTAATTCAATAGAATCTCAAAATCGTTCACTTCAAGGACATATTTTTAACAAATTTTTTACAAACAAACAAACAAATAAAAATACTCCAAAAGGAATTTATTTATATGGAGCTGTTGGTATATTTAAAGTTTTTTTAAAAATTTTCGGATAGATTTTTTCAAGGGTTTTTTGCGTATCGGGCTAATTCAAGAAACGGGCAAGACAAATCAGTGTCTTACCAACTCAAGGAATTTTCTGCTTTTTCAATTTTGTCTGCATTATTTTTTAAAATCTGAATTGTTCAGAATATTTTTAAGATCGGGATTTAAAAAAATTTTGAAAAATCCTAGTTTTCGAAAATATTTTGCAGATAAATTAAACGCGGTATGATGTTATAATACCAAAAGCTTGTAATACCAAAACTTGTAATACCAAAAGCTTGAAATACCAAAATTTGTAATACCAATAGCTTGTAATACCAAACCCCCAAAAGATGTTGAAATACCAAACCGTGGAAAAAAGCTTGTAATACCAAATAAATACCAAAACTATTATTATTCAATTTGTTACTAAAACTGTGGAATTTTTTGTTATTTATCTCCCGGCAGAATAACTTGTTGGTTTTAGCCTGTTGGTTTTTAGTCTTCGCTTGGAAAACTGTTCTTGTGCCAAGCTGATTTTTGGAGTAAAAAATTCGAATATACAAATGATAACGCATTTGAAAGGGCTCGACGAGCTGAGTTGAATAACACCAAAATCAGCTCGATTAGATGATTGTGAACAAAGTTATGACCAACAGAATCTTCGCTGGAAAAACTGTTTTTGTGCTGCTACGGAGGGTAGGCCGGGCATGGTCTTCGCTACACGATGGCCGTGCTTCGCTGCGGTCGTGCTCTGCGGTCGTAGCTTCGCTGCGGCCGTAGCGAAGCGGCGGCCGTCGTTCCGCTCGACATGCCCGGCTTCCTCCGCAGCGGCAAAAACTTTTTTCCGCGAAAACCTTGTGTGAAAGGTTTCCACACTTTGTATTATGAAGGATTTTGAAGGAGGATTATATTATACACAAAGAGGAGTTTTATAAAAAAAATTTTCACGGTTTGGTATTTCAACAGCTTTTGGGTATTTGGTATTACAAACTTTTTTCCACGGTTTGGTATTTCAACGTCTTTTGGGGGTTTGGTATTTCAAGCTTTTTTGGTCACTTTGGTATTTCAACAGCTTTTGGGGGTTTGGTATTATAAGCTTTTGGTATTATAAAACGCTCCGATTAAACGCAGACAAAACTGAAAATGCAGAAAGTTCCGTGATTTGGTCGTTCCATGACTTGACTGTTCCGTGATTTGGAATCCTTGAATTGCCCCTCACCCGTTTTTTTGATAGCAATATTATCATTAAAATATGAGTTTGGTGATCATTATCAAAGTTGTTTTGGAATTTCGATTTTTAAGGGGTTTTTTCTTTTGATTTTTGGGTTCGAATTTTTGTTGCTATTTTCGATTTTCGAGTTTCAAAAATTTTTTCTTCAGAACATATTTGTTTAATAAGCCACTAATTTTATTTTTTTAAAGTCCTCTTGACGTTGCCACTAATTTTTAAAAAATTTCTCTTGACTTTTTTTGATATTTTAGTAATTTTAGATTTGTCCGCAAATCTTTCTCAAGCAAAAATTAAATTAAAAATTTAATTAAAATATTCAAAAATGGAAAATAAAACTAATTTTCTTTAATTTAAAAGGAGGCGGAAAGACAATGTTAATGGATATGTTTTTACAAAATATCTCAATAGAAAGGAAAGAACGTATTCATTTTCATCAATTTATGCAACAATTTCATAAAAGTATTTTTTAAATTTAATTTAAAAAATTTTTTTCCTTTAAAAGATTTACATTTATTAAAAATTAATTCGAAAGACGGGAAAGACCCAATCCCTCAAATTACTAAAGAAATAATTAATAAATCGATACTTTTTTGTTTTGACGAATTCCAAGTTGTTGATATTGCTGATGCTATGATATTGAAACGTTTATTTACTGAATTATTCGATTTGGGATTGATACTTGTTGCGTAGGTTTTTTTTTATTTTTTTCTTAAACTTGAAATTGAAATTTATTTTTTACGCATTTTTAATTTAAGAAAGTTGAATTTATAGCCTTATTTGGAGGAATTTTTTAAACATTCTTACTTTTACTGGTCTCTAGATAAAAATATGTGGAAGAAGTGCTTTTTCGACGTAATTCGACTTGTTATTTGTTGTAATTCGATTTGGTCTAATTCGGATCCGGGGTTCGAAATAAACAAATTTTATGCTCATTCGGATCCAGAACACTCAATTACCTAATGGCAGACCTAAAAAATGACGAGAAAGCACTCCTTCACATTTTTTCTAGGGACCAGTAAAAGTGAGGATTACCGAATTTTTGAACATCCTTTTTTGAAATTCTTTTATTTAACCAAAAATTTAAAAAATGTTTAGAATATTTTCCCAAAAAATATTTTAATGTCCTTTTTAATTCAAGTTCCTAATTTTTTGGTTTATCTAGAGAGAAATTTATTGAATATTTTAGAGTTTTTAATTTCTAAAAACTTATTTAAATAAATCTTCCAACCCGTTTTCTCACCACAATTTAATTTTTTAATTAAAGCACATCAAATCGTCCTCCAAAAGATTTGTATAAAAATGGTCTTCAAAGGCATCAATTTATTCCTTTTATCGAATTAATTGAGAAAAAATGTCATATAATTTCTCTTGACTCAGAAATTGATTATAGAAAAGTTTTTTTTAATTTTTTTAAATTTAAAAATTGTAATTTTTTAGACATCTTCACAAGCAGAAGGAATGTTTTTTGTTGGAAAATCTGTTGAAATTGAAAATAAAATTGAAAGTGAATTTAAAATTTTGTGTACAAAAGAAAATGACGGTTTTTTAAATTTTTAAATTAAAAAATTTTTTTTCTAGTTGTTGGTTCAAAAACAATAAATATTTTGGGAAGGGCTTTATTTATTGAAAAATGTTGTGGACGTATTGCTTATTTACATTTTGATGAACTTTGTGGAAGACCTTTAAGTTCGAACGATTATATGGCTATTGCTAGGGTTTTCCATACAGTTTTTATTAGGTTTTTTTTAATTTTTTTTTAATTTTTTCCCGTCCCAGGAATTTATTTAGAAAGGGTTTTGGGTTTAATTTTTTGGAAAAAATTATTTTAATAAAAAATTAGTTTTCATTTACGCATTTTAAATTTTTGGTTTTCCCGATTTTTTAGTGGAAGCTTAAGACATTTTTGACATTTTTTTAAATTTTTGTAAAGTTTTCCTTTGAATATTAAATTCAGAGTAAACACTACGCATTTTGCCTTTTCAAAATTTTTATTGGGAATTTTGTAGTAGTCTGTGGAATATTTATTTTAATACTTTTCTTAAATTTTTTATTTTTTTTTTGATTTCAAATTTTTAAAAATTTTGATTTTTAGTGCCGCAGGCGAAAATTTTTAGAAATTTTCCGCAGTCCAGAAAAATTCACTTTTTTGCCAAATCCCCTCCCCAAATTTTTTCCTTTTCCCTATTTCGGAGGGGGGGGGGATGCCTCTGGCTACGGGCCTGATACACATAATTTTTTTAAAAAATTTTTAACATTAAAAAAAATATTTTCAGACAAATTCCAATATTAACCCAAACACGTTTATCAGAAATTCGCCGTTTTATAACAATGATTGACACATTTTATGATCAAAAAGTTTAATTTTAAATTAATTCTTTTTAAAAATATTTTTTAGGTTAAAGTAATTTGTTCGGCTGAAGTGGATTTAGAAAATTTATTTCAAATTAATAAACAAACAGAATTAAGCGATACTCAAAGAATATTAATGGATGATTTAAAAATAAATGAACTAGAGGTTGTTAAAATTTAAATTGAAAAATTTAAGTCATTTTGGCTCGGAAAAGGAATATTTTTTATAATTTTCGAATAAATTCACTTAAAGTGAACATTTTTGAGACAATATACACGAGTGAAAAAAAAATAACTTTAAAATAAGAAAAAAATTTCTTCAAAAAGCGAAAAAAGTAATGTAGAAAAGAAAGAGATATGTTTTTATATGCAGAAAAACTGGGGGATCTTAATACTTTTGGGGCTTATAACTCGATCCCAGGTACCATTTAGCAGAAATGATGAAAATTTCAATGGATAGGGTGGTTCTATTAGAGCTTTTACGGTATTCTTAGTTTGAGTTGTTCATGTGAAAATTTCACAACCAAAGAAGGGTATGATCTACCTGTCTGCAAAATTTCATGCCGAAGTTCCGCGGACACCCCATGCACTCCCCTTTTTTAAAGTTCTCATATTTTATAAAAACGTACACAAGAGAATAAACATTAACATTAAAATAAGAAATTTTTTTTAAACTCGAAAAAAATTAAAAGATGCCTCGAAAATATTTGAAAATTATGCCTTTCTTAAAAATCTTTAAAAATTTCTTTTTAGGAATCTGCACATGCAAATGTATTTGACGGATCGGAAGAAATATTTGCTTATGAAAGGACTGTTTCTCGTTTAATGGAAATGCGTACAGAAATATATTTATCACACAGAAAACCCTCATAAAATTAATTTAAAATTAGAAATTTATTGTTTGCTCAATATTTTTATTTTTCCCTAATTAATTACGCCTTTTTTGTTGTATTTAAATTTTTATATAAAAAATATGAATTTTTAATTGTGCATTTATAATTAGCGGTGAAAAATAAAAATTATATTAACCAAATCAAGATTTAAAAATCTAAACTACACTCTGGCAGATAATTATAAGCACCCCTTGCAATTCTAAAATTATGGCTTGTAGCAAAAATAAATGAAATTTCACTGAATCGACTGTCAGATAATTACAAGCACTCCTTAAATTTCTACATTAGGAGCTGTTCGAAAAATCAACAAAAATTCTGATTATCATACATATCTAGTGATGGCAATTGAAAATACAAAAGAAAAAAAGTTTTAATATCTTCCATCATCGTGATCCAGAAACCAGAAAATCAACGTATATCTACATATCTACATTTCTCTGGCTCTAATTTTTGTAACGTAAGGTCATATTTTAATAAAAGAATAGTATTTTTTAACTGACACATCCTTTTAAAATATTCCGAATGAAGAAGAGCTTATTTACTGTCAAAAATAAATTTATCTCCAAAATTCTTGTAATTGTTTAAAATGTATTTTAGCCTGTTCTTGTGCAAAAATATTTTTAGTAATCCTGTTTTTACATTTCTTGATATAATTAATAAAGCTGATATAAACAATTAATGTAATAGTAATATGTACAAATAAAAACTAAAAAATTGAAAATTAGAAAATAAATTTCTACAATTAAAAACCGTATCATCAACATTATAAAATAAAATATATTGGGCAATTGGCATTGAAGATTTATATGCTCGAAGAATAATAGCAAATACAATGTAAAAAGAATAAAATAAAGCATAAGATAAATCAAGAGGAAGAATTAAACGCATAGAAAGTGTATTTTCGTTTAATTGAAAATTTTGGCTTAAACTATATTTTGCTGAATTTTTACTGAAAACGATATATTTTTGTAATTTTTAAAAATTATTTTACGTTAAATTCTTTATTTTTCTATTTAAAATAATAATTCTCCAATCACATAAAGTTGTCACAATCATTAGTATTAATGTAAAAATTGTCATATAAAACATTGGTAAAGCATTATATTTAGTGGTCATATAGATAGCCCCTTGAGGCTGCCCAAAATTTTCTGTGTCTGCAAAAGCAGCCAAAGAAATGTAGATATAATAAATAATGGATATTAACCACTTAAATTAGATTTTTATTTTAATTAGAAATATGTTAAAATATTATTTGTTTTTTTAGTACAATTGAAAAAATATTCCAAACTCGTTAATTTTGTTTTCACATCTAAAAATTTTTAGACCCCTTATTAGTGATCCATCTATTATTTGATTTTCCATAAGTTATCAGTTAGGAACCTTATAGTTTTTCGATTATTAACGACTTAGATTTCGGCCCAAGTCTACATATTTAGATCACAGCATAATACTCGTTCATTTAAATGTTTTTGGCGAGATCTTTGGTTAATTTCGTTACTATCAAAGTATTTATACTTATCAAAATATTCACAAATATTCATTTAATTTCCAAAAAAACTTACAACAACCAAACTCATGTAAATCCCCAATAAACGCCCTTCTTTTTCATATTTTCCAGCTAATAAAGTAGCTCTAGCACGTTCAATCATAATGCAAAAATGAAAGGATGGATATGCAATAGTATTAATAAAATATGGAGCATGAATTACCAAAACAAGCCAAATCGGGGTCAATAACTCACAAGAATCATTGTATGTATACAAAAGAATCTAAAATAATTTTAAATTAATTTTAGAAATATTCTTTGGGCTGTTTATACAAGTTAAAAAATTAATATGAAATTTTAAATTATGATTAAATACATATTAGAATTATCTAGATACAAAACAATTACCGTATATTTTATTAATTACCCTGGGTAATTATTGTTTCGATCTTCCGCTGGAGGGAGTAATTAGTCGAGCAGGGTAATTATACGAGGTTTAGAATTTGAACGTGTTTTAGTGTATTTGTTTGGGGGTAATTATTGTTTCGATCTATCGCTGGATGGGGTAATTAATGGAAGGGGGGTAATTATTTGAGGGAGGGCAATTAATACAGGTTATACGGTAAGTTTGTTTAAAGTTAGTTTTGTTTTCTGCCATTTAGACGGAATTTCATTAATTTTTTTTATGTATTCTAATTTAATTTTACCTTATATCGAACGTTATAAAAAAGCCAAACAATTGTTTCAATAAAATATAGAGCAATTATATTAGGAAATAATATCTAAATTTAAATAAAATATTCATTAATTATTTTAATTTACCATCAAATTTCCGTGTAAATAAAATTTATTATTTTTAAAATAAATAATTAAATAAATAATTAATATCAAAATAAAACTAAGCAAAATAATTTGTATAGGCATTAAAATTGAATATATTTTGTCAGTTAATAATTGTTCAATTTCTACACAATTTGTTGAAAAATTTTGATCAGTTTGTGACATTTTTTTAAATAAAATATTTTTTATTAAAATTATTAAAGCTTTGATATATTTATATCTGAATAATAAATTAAATAAATTATATTAATAATTTATTTTTATAAATATATAAATAGAAATATTTGTGAATTAATTTAATTTTCTCAGGGAAATAAGTAAAAATTATTGAGAAAATTTCAAAAATAATTTTTTAAAGAATAATCTAATTATTCTAAGAAATATTTTTTATTAAATTAAATAAAAGAAAGGTGCGTCAAATTCGGCGTGTAGTTTGTTTCTAGCATAAATATATGTATATATCTCGCTTCAAATTAAACTAAAAACGATTTCTAAAAACGATTTTCTAAATTGTTATATAAAAATTTGTCATCTAAAACACTTTTCCATTTTCCGATTTAGTTCAAAATTGTAAACACACGAGTTTTTTCTTTTACAACAATTTTCTACTGTATCAGACCACAAATGTTTAATGAGCAACAAATTCTCGTAGAGTTGATTTGTTTTTTAGAATTTATATGTCATTCAAAAAATTGGACAAAATCGGGGTTAGAAAGTTTATTTGGACTCTAAATGAGTCACTTACAGTTGTGCAATTGAAATATGCAAAAATTTAAAGTTAAAAATGAATTAGGTAAAAAAATTGGACAAAATAGGAAATTAACTGAAGGAAAGATGAAAAATAGCTATTAACGATGTAGGTATATCTAACATTTTATATTAAAGGCAAACTTAATCTTAAAATGTTAAACATGGTTTCAAAGCTACCATTTCTAATTAAACAATAAACCAACACGGAAACGAAAAATAAATTCAAAGATTGCGTGCAGTCACGACAACATAAAAAATCAGAAAGTAAAAAATTTACTAAAGAATGAAAATAATACAAATTAATAATTTTCTTTAATATAGAATACAAATTCTTTCGATTATTCTTTGAAATAAACTTTTTTATATGACGGATATATTAGCTAATTAAAACTTATTCTCGTTAATGCCGACTTTGAATTTTAAAAAATTTCTGCGTTATGCAATACTTTCTGCTAAAAATAAATGATCATTTTTATCTACTTTCCCACTCTTTACCTTTGATGTATTTCGAAGTCGTCTGGAAATACTTTTTAGGAATCTGCACAGGCCGAAATTGTAGCATAAACATCAACACTTCCGTTCTAGAAAAAGAAAAAAAGACAGGGAAATGAAAATGGATTCAGATTCAGTTTTGAATTTTTATACGGTAGTGTGGGCTGAAACGGAGTGGACTAAAACTGAAAAGCTGACGTAAATCTACGACGTAAATATTTTCCAAGATATCCTAAATAAAAAATTATAATTTAAAGTGAGTCTCTGAAATTGATTGGAGTCTGAATTTTATTCGAAATTCGAAAATTCATTGGAACAATAAAATTGTGAGTTATTAGAGACATAAATGAAAGCCCCTCCCATGTATTATTCGTTTAATAAAAATTTATTTGGATCAAATTAGCCGATAATAGATTTATGCAACGCATTTGGATATCAACAGAAACCAGTTTTTGAAAGGAAATGACAAAAATGAATAGTAAAAATTAGCAAAGTTTAACGTAGCAACGGTGGTTCAGTGGTAGAATGCTCGCCTGCCACGCGGGCGGCCCGGGTTCGATTCCCGGCCGTTGCAAATATTTTTTGTTCGTTTATAATTTAAATATTAGTAATTGTAATTTATATTTATTTTATTTTTTTCTTTTTATTTTTTTTATGAAATAAAGTTATTTTCTAAAAAAATAATATTTTTAACTAGCACATCCTTCTAAAATATATCTC